AGACGAGGCTTTGCAACGCGCGATTACGTCAGACGAGGCTTTGCAACGCGCGATTACGTCAGACGAGGCTTTGCAACGCGCGATTACGTCAGACGAGGCTACGCAACGCACGATTACGTCAGACGAGGCTACGCAACGCGTGATTACGTCAGACGAGGCTACCAATGTGTGATTACGTCAGACGAGGCTTCGTAACGCGCGATTACATCAGATGAGGCTAAGCAACGCGCGATTACGTCAGACGAGGCTATGCAACGCGCGATTACGTCAGACGAGGCTACGCAACGCGCGATTACGTCAGACGAGGCTACGCAACGCGCGATTACGTCAGACGAGGCTACGCAACGCGCGATTACGTCAGACGAGGCTACGCAACGCGCGGTTACGTCAGACGAGGCTACGCAATGCGCGATTACGTCAGACGAGTCTACGCAACATGCGATTATATCAGAMGAGGCTACGCAACGTGTGATTACGTCAGACGAGGCTACGCAGCGCGCGATTACGTCAGACGAGGCTACGCAATGCGTGATTACGTCAGACAAGGCTACGCAACGCGTGATTATGTCAGATGTCGGCGACAAGCTTTGCGGTAGTAAACAGGAAGTGAAACTTGCTAACTAGCAGAGGATAATCATCTCGGGACAATGGAGCGATTTAACGGCTTAACGGCTAATTTAATGTTTCTTTCGCGAATTAAAGAGAGAAATGTTCTCGTCTCTTCGTCAGTCCACACATAGCTGTTGTTGTTGTATTTCACAGCCATGTTTTCGTGCGTTTATGATAACATCCGGGATGAGGCAGGAAAGCGGAAACAGCTGAACGTCACGTGAGGTAAACATGCGCTACGTCAGAATTTATTCGGCAAATGTGTTTCCATCTCTTGTTTTGCGCATTAATTACTTTGCGAATCATCCAAAAACCACCTTAAGTGAGCGTAAAAACTTTTTAGCGAATTGAGGATTTTTTTTCGAATTTTGCTGTTTCCATCCGACTTTTTATTTTCGCATTTTTAATGCGACACTTCTAAATGAGCATCAAAAAGCCTTGATGGAAACACGTGACAATAGCTGTGATGGTTGTACTGATGGATCTTCTTCCTCTTCCCACCTGCAGGTGAGCATCCTCAGCAGGCTGAGCACAGAGAACGCTGACGAGTTCAACTTTGTCCGCTCCTACGAGTGTTTTCAGCACAAGAACCACACGTGCCTTGTGTTTGAGATGCTGGAGCAGAACTTGTACGACTTCCTGAAGCACAGCAAGTTCAGCCCTCTGACCCTAAAATGCATCAGGCCCATCCTGCAGCAGGTGGCCACGGCTCTGATGAAGCTAAAGAGCCTGGGCTTGATCCACGCCGACCTGAAGCCTGAGAACATCATGCTGGTAGACCCTCTGAGGCAGCCATACAGGGTGAAGGTCATAGATTTTGGCTCTGCTAGTCATGTGTCCAAAGCCGTTTGCTCCACCTACCTGCAGTCACGATATTACAGGTGAGGGGTCTGAAATGAGCTGAATGTGTCTGTGTGGAAACCACCTGCGTGATCTCTTTACTGCCTGATGTTTTCAGAGCTCCAGAGATCATTCTGGGTCTGCCTTTCTGCGAAGCCATCGACATGTGGTCTCTGGGCTGCGTTATAGCTGAGCTGTTCTTGGGGTGGCCCCTGTACCCCGGTGCCTCAGAGTACGATCAGGTCATCTGCACCACCTCCACAAAATACTTTAAACCTGCATCTTAACACAGTCAGACCCAGTCAAACCAGACTATTTTCTTTCCAACACAGAGGTTTTTTTTTAAAATATTGATTAAAAATAACAGTATTACAGTTTTTATTGATTGTTTTGACGCAGCCGTCAACTCAAAATCCACATTTTCAAAACAGTTAACGCAGAGGCCTAAACATTAACACAGTGGTCAAAATGACACATTTTGTTTGCAAAAGGCAGCAACTGTGTCAAAACATTTAAAATATGGAAGAAAAGCAAACTTTGCCTTCAAACAACTCAACTTTGACACAATGTATGAACACCTCCAAACAATCAGTACACAATGGGCAACAAAATACAGCACAATCAGTGCACCATTGCTTGTCATTGTAGCCTATGACTGTACGTAGCTTACATGTCAGTGCTGTTTGTAGTCAAATTTACCCTCTTGTAAAAATACATTCAGAAGCAGATATGGTTTGATGCAAATTTTATTGATTACATTTTTTTTTCAGACTGTGCCTGACAAATGAAATATTCCAACAGAGAATACATGGAAATAAAAATAAAATCCTTTACTGTGTGAGAAAGTAGGTAAATAAAAAAACGTCTTTTACAGTAAAGAACAAAAATCTATAGTAGGTCTATAGTATAAGAGTATAAGAGATTAACACAGGTCTGCAGACTGATTGCAAATTAGAAAATTCTGTGAAGAAGTGTTTAACAGGTGCTTTGTGTTTCATACTGACAGCTAAAAGGGAGTTTGGACTTCTTGAATGACATCTGCGTTACTGTTTTGCAAAAGGGTGGAAAACTGTGTCAATCCAATGAGAATGGGTTAACACACTGCAAGAGGTGTCTTCTGCTCTGCTGAGATGGTGATGATGAAGACTGAGAGGTTCCCAGTTCCTTCAAATGGGTCAAAGCGATCAGTAAAAACTGTAAAAACTCAACATTTGAAGGCAGAGTGATTCTGTTTCTTCTTCTGTGTGTTTGTGTAACTGTGCTCTACACCATTTTAGAAAGTACCCATATGATTAACATATATAACTGATTATCCTTTGGAGTAGTGCCCGGCGGTTTGACCCAAATTTTATATCAAGGTATTTTCAACAGTTACACTGGTATCACGGTATTTGATTGATTGATTGATTGATTGATTGATTGATTGATTGATTGATTGATTGATTGATTGATTGATGACTTTATTGTCATTGTATGGAGCACAATGAAATTACATTTAAGAACACCCGTTCAAGAAGACATGCGACAGAAACATAGGGGAACAAGTGATCAGGTCATGCAGCAACCAGCAGGGGTCGCACTACCTTTTGAAAAGAAAAACTAAATACCACAGAAGGTTAGATGAGGAAAACAAAACATATTATATCAACGAAATATGATACACTATCAGTGTTTCCCCTAAGAAATTGGTCCGGGGTGGGGGTGGGGTGGGGGGG